AATGTTCCAAAAATATGTTTACAGTGATGAAAAATATAGTTGATCTCAACAGAAAACTAGAAACTTTCTAAAGCATCGAATGGAAATTATAAAACTGAAAAATACAATATCTGAAATCAAAAAGGCAGCTTTGCAGGTACAACTGTTTCCTCAAAAGAATTCTTTCTCTTTTTATATATAATAACCTCTTTTATTTAGTTTCTGATAACTAACCTTAGCTATTTACTCAGTTCCTCCTTCTTTGAGTGTTCAGTGGCTGAAGTACTAAAGTACTTATGACAGTTATAATCTCTCTAACTTGATTCCTGTCTTAATTTTATTCCTCTACCCTAATATTTTTGCCTAATTGACCTAACCCTGCAATCCGTCTGTAGTGGTTTTAAAACATGGGGTACCTGGCTGGCTCAGTCGGTAAAGCAAATGACTCTTGGTCTTGGTGTTGTAAGTTTGAGCCCCATGTTGGGTGTAGAGATTACTTAAAAATAAAATCTTCCAAAAAAAAAAGAATTTCATGACATTCTGTCCTTCAAAACATAGACCATGATTCCCCTCCCCCTGAGAGTGGACTGGACTCAAAGAATCACTTCTAATCAACAGAATATAGCAAACATGACAGTATGATTTCCAAGACTAGATCATGGAAAGCACTGAAGCCTCTTCCTTTCTCTCTTGGGTCACTCAAACTGAGGGAAGCCAGCTGTCCATGTCATGAAGACATTCAAGCAACTCTTTGGACAGGTACATGTAGAAAGCAATAGCTTTCCCCTACCAATAGCCAGCAAGAGGTCTTCAGCCCATAGTCATGGTTCCATTATGTCTCCCCTAAAAGATAAGTTAGAATCTTAACTTACATAACACAGTACCTAAAAATATGACCTTATCTAAAATAGAGTTCTTACGGAGATAATCAAGTTACAATAAAGTCATTATGATGAGCCCTAATCCAGTATGACTGATGTCCTTATGAAAAAGGGAAGAAAAAAAACGGGAAGAGATGGGTACACAGGGAAAATGGCATGTAGGATGAAGTCTGAGATCAAGATAATATTAGTACAAGCCATAGAACACGAAAGACTGCCAGCAAACCACCCAAATCTTGGAGAAAGGCATGGCAGAGATTGTCCCTCACAGCTCTCTGAAAGAACCATCCTGCCAACACCTTGATCATTCACTTCTAGCCCCCAGGACAGAGACAATACATTTCTGTTGTTCCAAAGCGTTTGGGGTACTTTGTTACAGCAGCCGCAGGAAACTAACGTATCATATGAATGAACCACTTTGGAAGCAGATCATCTAGTTCCAGACAAGCTTGCAGATTATTGCAGTCCTAACCATTATCTTGACTTCCACTTCCTGAGTCAACCCTAGCCAGAACTGACAGCTAAGTGGCTACTGAATTCCTGACCCACAGAAATTATAAGTGTTTGGTGTCTTAACTGTTGTTATGGCCTGAATTGTGTCCCCACCACATATTAATATGTGGAAGCCCTAAACTCTCAAGTGACTGTATTTGGAGGCAGAGCCTCTTTAAAGGCTCTTTAAATTACCTCTTTAAAGGTAATTAAGGTTGAATGACACTGTTAGGATGGGGCCCTAGTTCAGTATGACTGGTGCCCCTATCAGAAGAGGATCAAGAGACACCTGGGTGGCTCAGTGGTTGAGCATTGCCTTTGGCTCAGGGCACGATCCCAGGGTTCCTGGGATTGAGTCCCGCATTGGGCTTACCACAGGGAGCCTGTTTCTCTCTCTGCCTATGTCTCTGCCTCTCTCTGTGTGTCTCTCATGAATAAATAAATAAAATCTTAAAAAGAAGAAGAAGAAGAAGAAGAAGAAGAAGAAGAAGAAGAAGAAGAAGAAGAAGAAGAAGAAGAAGAAGAAACAACACCAGGGATGGGCACACACAAAGCAAAGGTCATGTGAGAACATAAGGAGAAGGTGCCCATCTGGAACCCAATGAGGGGGCCCCTAGAGAAACCAACTCTACTGACATCTTGACCTTGGCCTTGACCAAGGCTTCCAGAAGTGTGAGAAAATAATCTGTTGTTTAAGCCACTCAGTCTGCGGTATTTTGTTATGGGAACCCCAGAAGAACAACCCAGCTGATAAATTTGGGAATAACCTATCACACAACAATAGATACTAATACACTTTCCCACACCAGCCCCCCAAACACACACATTTTTCCACTTCCATTTGCCACTGTTTCAACAAGTACTGCAAATTAGAAATGTCAGCAATACCTCTTTGAACAGATTTGGTGTTCTGAAACTTGATTCCCTCACAGAGTATGGAATAAATATGTCAAGTGAGAAACAAGTCTTCCCATAAAGACCTCTATCGTTTAAGTGAAAGTGGTAAAGGGTGACAATTAGCCTGTGCGTGACCCTGTTTGATCTTAGACTATGAGCATGACCAAGATCATAATAGAAGGCTTACACTTCTAACCCAATGGAAAACTTCAGTCCATTGGAAACAACCACCACCTCCTTCTCTCTTTCCTCAGCAGCTTGTACCTCAGCTGTGGATGCTGAATTATATGAATTTGTTAAGCCCTCAACCAACAAACACTTGCTCTTCCAGACGTGTCTCAGTTATATTTTTAAATATATACTTTTTAAATCTATTACAGTTCCTAGCACAGAGAAAGCACTCAGTATATGTTTAGAGAATGACTGAATCCAGAAGAACTGTCCCCTTTAATTCTATCCTCAGGCAGACCTACACCAGCCAAGACTTTAAAAAGGCAGTGCTGAGCTGTGAATCTCCCTCATTTATCTTATTCCCTCCGGAGAATTCCTTCTGCTGTTGCTCCTGACAAATTCGGAGTCTGGTCTGTTTGATTTCTGCTTCTGATGGTCAGGTAAGCTCTCCCTAAGTTAACTCTTGCCTGTTCCTTCGCATCACACCATTTTCTTCCTTGCGTTGTCTGAACATAATCCTAAGGTCCTGTGCATTCCATTTAGTCCTCCCTCATGGGCCAATTCTCTGCCCTTGTACCTGGCCTCAATCTTCACCCCAGTTATAACTGTTCAGCACCCTCAACCATCTCACCCATCCAACTCCAGGGCAGGCCCAAAAGAAGGTTCAGGGCAGCCCTGGTGGCCCAGCGGTTTAGCGCCTGCCTTTGGCCCAGGGCCTGATCCTGGAGACCCGGGATCGAGTCCCATGTTGGGCTCCCTGCATGGAGCCTGCTTCTCCCCTGCCTCTCTCTTTCTCTCTCTCTCTCTCTCTCTCTCTCTCTCTCTGTGCCTCTCATGAATAAATAAATAAAATCTTTAAAAAAAAAAAAGAAAGTTCAGCAAAGTGTTTAAGGTTGAGAACTTGCATCTTATGACCTGTTGGCCTACATCTCTTTAGCTTTGCTTCCTGGAATTGTGTTCTACTGATTGATGGGGGCAGGGGAGTGGGTGAGTTCTGCTCTATTTTTAATGTCTAGATAATAGATGTCATAAGAATCACAGACCTGTCCATGAATGTGGTTCCAAAAGCTAATCTTGAGTGTTTTCTTGGCCCAAAACTCCAAACTGCTTTCATCCTTTCCTACCATCAAAGGGAAGTTTAGGTTTCTGTTAAGTATCTGAGGGAATCGAACTCACTAGAGCCAAAAAGAAGCTGCAGTCTCCGGAGTCTACTTACATCTCGTAATGAACCCGGTCTACATTGTATTCAGGTGTATTTAGAGCTTCTTGAACTAATTTCTTAAAACATTCAGGGGCAACCCTTTTTAAAACAGACAATCTCAAAATGATCCTTCATACATTCATGAATTAACTAAGACATAACTAGCCTTAGACATTGCCAAGTCGTTTCTCCAGCCAAAAACTTTTGGAGGCTGAGTACTTTAGTGAAAACATTGTAAGCATTCATAATAAGAGCCTAACATTTATTGAGTGCTTTTATAATGTGCAGGCTGCTTTGCACTTAATATGGATTCTCTCATTTAATCCTGCCAACAGCCCTGTGAGAAAACTTAACCCACAAAAAATGTAACTTATCCCAAGACATCCAGCTGTAAAATCATCAAGTGGGATTTAAACCACTTGAAGTCTCTGAATCCAGAACTCCGCCGCCTCTTGGGTTTCATGCAGCTTTACTAATGAAATTCCCTCCTGGTATTTGGCTGCCGGCGTAAAGATTTCACTGGGTTATCTCATTCTTTTGTTGCCAGGACCTGGATAAGGATAGAAGTATCTCCTGGACTAATCTACTTCTGCCCAGAGGAGGGCAGTTGGACAGTATGTCAATTCTCACCCAGGAAGTCTTCAATACACGTTTACTGAATGAATGAAGTCAGTTTGGAATTTGTTAAAAACAAATGACTCTTTTCTATTCACCTAGGAATAAGAAAAGAGGAATTGTCTCAATATCTTCTCTCATTAAGTGCTCCCACGGAAAACTGTGCATTCCATTTTGGTGACTCAGAAAGATGAAATCACAGAGAAAACTGGGGGTGGAGGGGGGTGCATGCAGGTGGAAGGTGGGGAGAACTATGAGAAACAGGGCATAGACCCACAGAGATGAGTCTAAGTCCTAAGTCTAACCTAAGTCCATAATGAGTCGTCAGAAAATCCAAGGGGAGGGAAGACACTAACATTTGAGGAGGTCAGTGATTCTCCCAAAACGTGTTTCAACACTCCATCCTCACTCTAAAATGTTCAGATCTCGGAGAAAGTGATGTTGCGAATCATCTGGGTGGCCTAGGATGCGCCTATAGCTCTGTCATGAAAGGTGAGCATGACACACAAGTGTCTGCGGGATGTAAGGCGCCAGGGGCTCCGCGGGAGGAGGGAGGGGACCGCGGGCCGCCCGGAGCGGTGCGGTGGGTGCGGTGCGGGGCGGCGCGGCGCGGCGCGGCTTCCAGGCGGGACGCAGAGAGGAAGCCCGCTGCAGTGGACCACGGCGGCCAGCAGATGGCGCGCTAGCGTGGGGGTCGCGGCGGACTCCCGCCCCCTCCGCACCCTCCAGCCCACCCGCCCGGCCACCCGGCCTCTTCCTCGCGGCGACTCCGGCTGCGAGGTCAAGGCTTGGGCTCCTGCCAAATGGACTCAGGCACCGGCCGGGGGCTCCGAGGGCGTTGACCCGGGTGGGGGAGGCCGCGGCGGGCGGCCATAGGCTGCGGCGCGGGGCGGGGGAGCGAGGCGGGGCCTGCCCGGCCCCGGGACCCCGAGGGCGTCCGAGGGGCCGCGAGCGCGCCGCCGCCCGCCCCGGCCGCCTGGGACCCGGCGCTCCGAGCCGTCCTCCTCGGGGCTGTGCGGTGTTTCCGCGGCCGCCGCAGGTGCTCGGCCGTCAGACATGAACTACGCGCGGTTCGTCACCGCCGCCAGCGCAGCTAGACAGCCGTCCGCCATCCGCGTCGTCAGTGAGTGCGGGGACGCCGGGCTCGCGGGGCCTCCGGGCGGGGAGGGGGGCGGGGAGGGCCTCCCCGGGGCGGGGGCTCTCGGGGACCCTCCGGGGACTTGCCCTGCCCCGGGGCCGGGGGCTCTCGGGGACCCTCCCGGGACTTGCCCTCCCCCGGGGCGGGGTCTCTCTGGGGCCCTCCCGGGACTTGCCCCCCCCGGGGCGGGGGTCTCCCTGGGGCCCTCCCGGCACTTGCCCCCCCCCGGGGCCGGGGTCTCCCTGGGGCCCTCCCGGCACTTGCCCCCCCCGGGGCCGGGGTCTCTCGGGGACCCTCCCGGGACTTGCCCTCCCCCGGGGCCGGGGTCTCCCTGGGGCCCTCCCGGCACTTGCCCCCCCCGGGGCCGGGGTCTCTCGGGGACCCTCCCGGCACTTGCCCCCCCACGGGGCGGGGGTCTCCCTGGGGCCCTCCCGGCACTTGCCCCCCCCGGGGCCGGGGGCTCTCGGGGACCCTCCCGGGACTTGCCCTCCCCCGGGGCGGGGTCTCTCTGGGGCCCTCCCGGGACTTGCCCCCCCCGGGGCGGGGGTCTCTCTGGGGCCCTCCCGGCACTTGCCCCCCCCGGGGCCGGGGTCTCCCTGGGGCCCTCCCGGCACTTGCCCCCCCACGGGGCGGGGGTCTCCCTGGGGCCCTCCGGGGACTTGCCCTCCCCCGGGGCCGGGGTCTCTCGGGGACCCTCCCGGGACTTGCCCCCCCCGGGGCGGGGGTCTCCCTGGGGCCCTCCCGGCACTTCCCCCCGGTGCGGGGGTCTCCCTGGGGCCCTCCCGGCACTTCCCCCCCCGGGGCGGGGGTCTCCCTGGGGCCCTCCCGGCACTTGCCCCCCCCCGGGGCGGGGTTCTCCCTGGGGCCCTCCGGGACTTGCCCTCCCCCGGGGCCGGGGTCCCTCGGGGACCCTCCCGGGACTTGCCCCCCCACGGGGCGGGGGTCTCCCTGGGGCCCTCCCGGCACTTGCCCCCCCACGGGGCGGGGGTCTCCCTGGGGCCCTCCCGGCACTTGCCCCCCCCCGGGGCGGGGGTCTCCCTGGGGCCCTCCCGGGACTTGCCCCCCCCCCGGGGCGGGGGTCTCTCTGGGGCCCTCCGGGGACGGGGCCCGCGGGCGGCGCTGAGCTCCCTTCACTCCTTCGCTGTGAGCCCGGCTCTGCGCGCGGACCTCAAACAGGGCAGACTCGGGCTGGAGAGGAAGGCGAGGACTTGGGGTCCGTGCTCCAGTGCAGCAGGAGCAGCAGTAGAGAGACACGGGCTGCTGCGGACACGTCCTGGGGAGAGAGGCTGTGCTGCCAGAAGGGCTCTTCCCTGCAGGATGAGCAGATGTTAGGCACAGGGTGCAAATGTGTGCGCAGTGGGGAGGGCCTGGTAACTTGGAAAGAAAGGAGTGAGCCCTGCAGCCCGAGAGGCAGGTAGGTGCCAAATGGAGGAGGGTTTTCTGTGATTGCGACCCTCTGCTTTACCTTTGGGATCGCTCTACCTTCTCCATTCTTCAATTCCTCCACCAGGGAGGTAGGGTCAGAAAAAGCAATTTTATGTGCTTTAGACCAGCATTCTATCACTAGAAATTGTTCAACTTTACAGTTTTTTGTTGACCATAATGCAATATATTGAGCTATCTCTGTTTATGAAAGTCTTCAATGAAAGTGTTTTCTTCTCTTCTGTATTTATTGTAGCTGAGATATTGAGCAGGATGCCGAAATCATTAATCTCCTTGGCTGCTGGAATGCCAAACCCCAACACCTTCCCCTTTAAGACTGCTGTTATCACCATAGAAAATGGAAAGCCCATCCAATTTGATGAAGAGATGATGAAGAGAGCACTTCAGTATTCTCAAAGTGCTGGGTAGTTATCAACGGATAACATAATTTTGTTGGGTTTTTTTTTTTTTTTTTGCAATATTCTAAGGCCCATTGATAATGTAATAAGTAGGTATTCCACAAGTAGGAAGATTTGAGGAAGAGTCTTTAAAGAATAATTAAGACCAATGGGTTTATTAAATGCTTAACACTCCCCAGTGACTGCACCTTAATGGGTGGGGAGACTCAGAGAAGGCTTCTACAAGGAAGCTTGGAGCTGAGACTGAAAAGAAAAAAATGAGGTAGCTAGGGGAAGAAGTAGGTTAGGAGGAAGGAGGAAAAGCAAAATGCAGGAAGCAGCAATTTTAATTCTGCGGAGTAATTTTGTAATATGTTCCCTTAATAGTTGCAGACAACTATGCAAATACTTTGTCCCTCCATTTAGATGTCCTGGATTTTTTTTTTAAGATTTTATTTATTCATTTGAGAGAGGGAGAGAGCATGTACATGGGCATGAGTGAGGGGAGAGGCAAAGGAAGGGGGAGAAGCAGGATCGCCACTGAGCAGGAGCAGGACATGGGGCTCCATCACAGGACCCTGAGATCATGACCTGCGCCAAAGACAGACACTTAACCAGCTGAGCCACCCACACATCCCCAGATGTCTTTCATTTCTTAAAAGCAAGCTGAAATACTTTATGACTTTGGTTAGCTGGTCTTCAGCCAATGATAAAGGGTAATTTATGGAGTGTCTACACATTATACCTTATTAAAGTTTTCTTTGTTCTGTGACCAAAAAGTGTATTGAAATGTAGCACGTTATGTATATAAATGATATATATGTAGGTTTTTCTTTCCATGATACAAAGAACTTGAGACTGGATTTCTAGGTAGCCTATGGAAATTTTCCTAGGAGAACAATCAATTGTGCAGTGAGTGCTCTAGTGTAAGGAAAAGAGAATAGACTTTAGAATAAGAAAGATGTAGATTCATATCTCAGTTCATAATCTGAACTGATTGACTTCATGTGAATTTCTTAATCTCTAAGTCTGTTGCTTTGTCTTTTGAATAAGGATATTAATATTGGCAAAAAGCATTTGAGGATTTTTTTTTTGAGGATTTTTTAGATTGAATGAATAAAGTGACTGGCCTAAAGCTACCATTTAATTCTTGTCTACTATTATTATTATGATTTTTAAAACAATAAATTTGAAAATACATTTTATGCTTTAGAATCCCAGAGCTGTTATCCTGGATAAAACAGTTACAAGTAAAATTGCATAATCCTCCCACCATCAATTACCCAACCAACCAAGGACAAATGGACATATGCATAACATCTGGCAGCCAAGATGGTCTTTGCAAGGTAAGACTGAAAGGACAGGGAACCCCACGTTAAAAATCCAGTATGTTGGTCAATATAGTCATCTCTCCCCTGACCACAAGAGGATCGTGTTTCATGAGTTACTGGTAGCCTATCTTGTCTTTACCTAGAATTTTAAACAGGGAACTTAAAGACATTCACCAACCTGATTTTTCTTAAATGTAGATCATGTGGTTAATGTCCCAGAGCTATGAGTCATTAAAACAAGATTCCTATTAAGGAAGTACTCAACTCCTACCAGAAGCTTAATGAGCACTGCTTAATTTCATCTGGCTCAGAGATTACATTTTGATTTATATAGTTACGAAATTTCGGGATTTTTAAAAAATTCTTTAGAGGGTATATCCTGAAACTCCTGAGATGAAACATTATTCCTTTGTATGCTTGCTTATGTAATCATCTCTGCTTGCCACTGCTTCCATCGGTCTCCTTCTTGGACATGCTTCGTAGATCTAGGTATGTCTGCTTCTGACCTCTCTGGGTTAGTTCTCCTGTTGTCTCCCTCTTACTCTCTGTGTGTCTCTTTCTCTCTGTTACTCCATCCACCTCTTTCCTGGGTTCCAGAGAGTCCACAGACAGACATAACCACCACTGGGGGTTCTCACAAGAGACTGCACCAGTGGTTCTCAGTTTCATCTGTTTCTTTTTTCCTTTCTTTTTCACAAATAGTCCTATAAAGATTCTCTATATCCAGACTTCCCATCTAGACTAAAAAGGACTCTCATTTATCTTAAGCCAAAGTAGTTTTGTTTTTCTTTTTATGAAAATGTGAAAGCTGCAGTCCAGTTAGCTTTAATGAATTTTAAATTATCATTACAGAATAAGGTTTTGAAATAAGAATATAATTTTTCCTCCCTCTTTCTGTGTTTAATTGGAGAAAAAAATGGGGATTAGCTACTGTTTGAGTAAAGAGAAACATCTGTGATTCCATAGATTAATATGAAAAAAGTTCTTTTTCAATTAAATTCTGTCTTAAGAAGGTATACTATGAACTTTTTTCCAGAACAGTGCTCAAGACAGTTTCTTCTTTATCTGTCACAATATCAATCATAACAAAGGAAGATGGCATAGATGGCCAAATACACCAATAATGCACTTATAGACATGCTTATTACAGAGGCTTTCATGGGAATCTGATTTACTCTTCCTTCCACTTTGTTCTCCAAGATAGATATTATGTTAAGCACCTGTGTCTCTGTCTACCTCTATTAAACAATGCTACCAGATAACAACCAGCCCCTCTTTTCATCTAGGATATTTGACATTTTCATGTCCCTTAATTGACATGGGAAATGTCTGTGATTAGGTTTTCATTTAATTTATTGACAGTGAACATGCCACCCAAGTAATTTGTTTGGTCCTAGGATGTCCTGTAAAGCCTGGATCACTTAGAAACTTTCCAGAGCAGCGTAGTATTTGTTATAAAATGCCAAAAACTCATAAGGAAAAGATGAAGGGAACATCCTAACCCAAATCAGGAAACAAAAGTCAGAACATCTGCTTCAGAGGAGCCTGGGTGGCTCAGCGGTTTAGCGCCGCCTTCAGCCCAGGGTGTGATCCTGGGGTCCTAGGATCAAGTCCCACATCGGGCTCCCTGCATGGAGCCTGCTTCTCCCTCTGCCTGTGTCTCTGCCTCTCTCTCTCTCTCTCTCTCTCTCTCTCTCTCTCTGTGACTGTCATAAATAAATAAAAATTTAAAAAAAAGAACATCTTCTTCATTTGATAATGGCCATACTGTTTGTCATGAGATAAAGGTTGTTAAAGTGATAGGAAGGGGGGCCTTAGACTGAGGATCGTGACACACCACAAGGAAAGAAAGGATGATTCCATGAATTATGTAAGATGTCATCATAATAGATCCATTTGATTTAGGCTAGAAGCATCTATTGCCTAGATCATGTTGTCTGCAGAATCTCCTCTAAGATTTGTCAAGCCTGTCTTACCTAACCTCTAAATATTCTTTAACATTGTTAACCTTCCCAACCTTTCTAAAACACTCTTCACTGGTTCTCTCAACACCTCATTGACCCAATTGGCCTGCCTTTGCAGTGTCCTCGTCTACACATCCATCATTTATCAGAGTTCCTCAAGGCTTAGTCCTCAAAACTCTTCTCCCCTTAGCCCATATACTTTCCCGGGATACTTCCACTCACACCCATGTGCTCGATCATATGCTAGTAACTTCCAAGCTTCTTCCAAATCCATGTGTCCCATCTGTCCACCTGGCACCATGACAGGATGTTTCAAAGGCATCTCAAAGCAAAACACACTCATCACCTTGTCCATCGGAGAGACAACTTTGTGGTTCTGTTTTTCAGTGAACAGCATCACTCCCTCCATCTGTCTAGTTCCATGGCCAGAAATCTAAGAGTCATTCTTCATGCCTCCTCTTCCTCATTCCCCTATAATCCATAATTGTGTTCTGTTGGTTTGGATTTCCTAAGTGCCTCTCAGTTCTCCTCTCCAAATCCATCATCACTGTCTGTCATGCTATACACATATCTCTTCCCAGAACTGCAGCAAAAACATTCCAGGTGACCCCCAAATTTCCCAGACTTTCCACATATATTCTCACTCATATTTTATTTCATATTGAAGCCAGAATGATCTTTCCAGCATGCATATCTGATAATGTGACTCCCCCTTCCCAGCCTCTACCTAAAATTCTTAACTGTCCTCATGTGGCTTGAATACCTGCATGGTATTTCTCTGCCTATTTCTGTCTAATCTCACTCCACCCTCCTCTTTACATTCCTTTTCAGGACACAGAATTCTTCCAGTTTCTAAAACTGTACCTATTGTCATTGCCTATTCCAACTCATAACTTCTCAATGAAGGCTTCCCTGAAGGCCCAAGTCCTCCTCCAATGAGCCCTTATAACATTGTGCATCTATACTTAAGCACTTACCATTCTATTTTAAGTATACATTTATTTGAGTGATTATTTGATTAGCATCTAGCTTTTCCATTGGACTAGTAGCTCCATGAAGATAAGAACCATGTTGCTATGTTCGTCATTTTGTCTCCATACCATGCATAGGCTTGGCTTATAGTAAATAAATATTTAATAAATTTTCAAAGAAATAAATGAATTTTAGGAGCCAAACCAATTATCTTACCCTAGAACAGAACTTGGGAAACTACAGCTAGAGAGCCAATTCCAGCCCTCACCTGACTTTGTAAATAGAGTTTTATAGGAACCCAGCCACACACACTGATTTATATATTGTTTTTGGCTGTTTCTCACTATACAGGCAGAGATAAATAGTTGCAATGGAGATATTATGGCCTACAAAATATGTACCACCTGGCACTTTACAGAAAATTTGCCAACTCCTACTCTTGAATCCTAGTGAGCTCAAACTAACAAGGGATTCGAAGAATGGAAATAATATCCAAACTAATCTGTGCTTCTTTTGTTAGGTGTTTGAAATGATCATTAATCCTGGAGATAATGTCCTGCTAAATGAACCTATTTATTCAGGAACACTTCAAGCTGTGAGTACACATTTTTATAAAAGGGCCTCCTCTTTCTTATAATTAATAATAAGAAAACATTACACCTTTAGAATTATCTGTCCACTGCAAGATAAAATTGTATCTTCCATCTGTAAGCAGGAAAATCTTGTGGCATAAGCAAAATATGTTAAATGTACCCTCTGCTTTATACATGTCCTTTTACAAAATCTATGTTTATAGGTGCTGAAATGAAGCTGCACAAAATCACGTCCAGCTTTCTTAACATTTCACTTGAAATGCAACTTCGTTTACAAAAACTTATTTTTCATAAGTATCTTTTATTACCATATGTCTAAGTACAGTCATGTTATATGTCAATTTAATATAACTGTAAACCAATATGGTATAATTAGGGCTTTCCACTCCAGTATTAATAGGACTATAATATCCAGAATCAGGAAAGTGATCATCTGGCTCTGCTGTGTACTAGTCAGAACACATCACTGAGCTATAGGTTTGTTTGGGGCACAATACTTTAGGATTGCCATGGACTGATATGTGCATGTTCTTAGGTTAATAGAGCTGGCACCAAAGGGTGGAAACTATGGGGAAACTATTTCAACTCCGTATAAGAACTTCCTAGCCATGAGCCTTACCTAACTCCTGACTCCCTAAGAAGGTAAAACACTGCCCATCACTGCAGATACTCAAAGTTGCTCAGTAGTCATTAACACAAGTGTTAGAAAAGTAATTCTAGTTTAAAATAGGGGAATGAATGAGATGAACTTTATGCTCTGTTGACTCTAACTTCACAGATTCTTTTTTCAAGTTTAATATTATCTTAAAAATTAATATATAAAGCAATAAGTCTTCAAGGCATGTTTCCTCAAAACTAAGTAGAAATAAAATTGATACCATTAAAAATGCTTTTCCTGTGAACAATATGAAAAGGAAATTAAGAAAACAATTCCATTTATAATAAAAGCCAAAAGAACAAAATCTCTGAAACCTAAGAAAGGAGGTAAAAGAGTTGTACATCAAAAACTACAAAAGGCTGCTGAAAGAAATTAAAGAAGACCCAAATAGATGGAAAAACATCACCTAATCATCAATTGGAAGACTTACTATTGTTTAAATGTCAATACTACCAAAGCAGGATGCCTGGGTGGCTCAGCGGTTGAGCGCCTCCCTTCAGCCCAGGACATGATCCTGGAGTCCCGGGGTCGAGTCCCACATTGGGCTCCCTGCATATGGAGCCTGCTTCTCTCTCTGCTCTCTGCCTATGTCTCTGTGTCTCTCATGAATAAATAAATAAAATCTAAAAAAAAAAAAAATACTACCAAAGCAAACTACATATTCAATACAATCCCTAACAAATTCCAGTAACTTTTTTTGCAGAAATAGAAAACCCAGTTATCAAATTTATATGGGATTGGAAGGAATCCAAATAGCCAAAACAATCTTGAAAAAGAAGAACAAAGTTTGAAGACTCCTATTTCCTAATTTCCAAACCAACTTCAAAGCTATAGTAATCAAAATACTGTGGCACTGGTATAGGGATAGACCTATAGACCAGTGGAATAGAATTCAGGTCCAGAAATAAATCCACGCATCTGTGGTCATTTTATTTCAACAAGGGTACCAAAATCATTCAATAGAGAAAGAAAAATCTCTTCAACATAAGGCGCTAGGACAACTGGATTTCCATATGCAAAAGAAAGAAACTGGATCCTTGAGCCACATAAAAATTTGACTCAAAAGGATCAAAGACCTAAATGTAAGAGCTAAAACTACAAAATCTTAGAAGAAAACATAAAAGCAAATCCTTATGACCTTGGCAATAAATTCTTAGATATGACACCAAAAACACAGGCAAAAAGAACAAAAAATAGATAAATTGTACTTCATCAAAGATTAAAAACTTGTGTGCATTGAAAAACGTTATGAAGAAACTGAAAAGACAGTCCACAGAATGGGAGAAAATATTTGTAAATCACATATCTGATATGGACTTAATATCCAGAACATATAAGGACCTGCTATAACTCAATGACAACAACAACAAAACCTAATTTAAAAATGGACAAAGGACTTGAATAGACATTTTTACAAAGAAGAAATACAAGTAGCGAATAAGCACATGAAAAGATGCTCAACATCATCATTAATCATTAGAGAAACACAAATCAAAACCACAGTGAGATACTACCTTATACCTACTAGGACAGCTATTTTTTTCATGTAAAGTAACAAGTGTTATTTTACAACAAGCCAACAAGTTTGAATATGAGGAGAAATTGGAACCCTTGTACATTGCTGGTGGAAATGTAAAATGGTACAGCCGCTGAGGAAAAGTTTGTCAGTTTCTCAAAATATTGAACATAGCATTACCATGTGACTCATTAATTCAACTCCAAGTCTGTACCCCAAAAACTGAAAACTGGAGCTCAAACAGATAATTGTACACAAATGTTTATTGAAAGCATTATTCATAATAACCAAAAGGTGGAAGCAATTCAAGTGTCCATCAACAGGTGAGTGGATATAAAATGTGGCACATACATATGCTGGAATATTGTTCAGCTATAAAAAGGAACAATGTTTTAACACACACTACAACATGGATAAACTTTGAAAACTATGGCCAACTGAAAGAAGCCAGACACAAAAGGACAGATATTGTATAACTACACTTACTTGTTTCTTAAATCTCAAACAGGCAAATTCAGAACCAAAGAATAAGAGGTTACTAGGGCCTGGGTGGGGGATGGGTGGAGGGATGGAAAGTTAATGCTGAATGGGTAAAGATTTTCTGTTTGGGGTGATAAAAAATTTTGGAAATCAATAGTGATGATTGATTCACACATTGTGAATGTGATTAATGCCATGAGCTGTATACTTAAAAATGGCAAAATTTTGGGGGCGCCTCGGAGGCTTAGTCAATTAAGCATCTGCTTTTGGCTCAGGTCATGATCCCAGGATCCTGGGATCAAGCCCCAAGGCAGGCTCTCTGCTCAGTGGGGGAGTCTGCTTCTCCTTTCCCTCTGCTCCTCCCCCTTGTGCTCTCTCACTCCCTCTCAAATAAATAAAATCTTTTTTAAAAAGGCAACATTTTTGTTATATATCTATTTACCACAATAAAAAACTAAAGTAAAATCATTCCTTTTTCTTAATGGTTGGTTACTAATTAGTAATTATTTTACTAAACTCCTTGTATGCCTATGAATATAAAACCACTGTCAGTGTAAACAGCATCATACACACACACGTAAATGTTTTCACATACCCAGACAGAAACTCTGTGCCAGGCTATAAGGAAATTTGCTAGTAAGGATTATGTGTTTTTTGTGGCCCAGTATTAATTTGTTTATTCATGGTGGATGTACTTTTTTAGCCTAAGAACTCTTAAATTCCTAAGAACTCTTAAATTTGTCATAAATTTGTCTGGATTATTCCCACTTAGTTCATGATTCCACATTTGCTAAAAGAGTGTTTATCCTTTGAAAAATTTTTCGGCTGAGAGCCTCACTCAATTATTGTTATTTCTGAAGTTCTAATTTTTTTCTTTAAGTTCATCCAAGAATAAGATTCCACAAGATTTTTATAAACTTACGTATGTCAAAAATAAAAATAAAAATAAACTTACGTATGTCCATAAACAAGGCCACTACTTGTGATTTCAGGCTTAGCCTTTGGTAAATATGAAATACTTCCATCCTCCTGGGTAAGCTTCTGCCCCTTTTCCCCTCAATGCCCTTCACCCCCTGCTTCCCTGACCACAGTCCTAAGACCACCCTGAACTTCTCATAATGTGGAGTTAATGCAGGGGGGGCCCAGACTCTGCTCTTGTTAGAAACTGTTTCTAATGTGCCCATGCTATACCACTTGTTAAATATTTTGAATGTCACCTCTGCTTGTAACTATTTTAGGTATTAGCATAACAGATTCTTTCTATGTTTAACTTTGTCAAAAAAAAAGCATTAATTAATAAATATCTACTTTGTAAACCAGTTCTAATTATAATTCCAAAGATGATTCAGAAGACGTTAGGAGATGCTGTGTAACAAATCTCAGTGGCTTGTGGCTAGGAAAGTTTCTTTCTCTCACATTCTGCATATCTACCAAAAGGCAGCTGCTGCTCTGTTCAATGTCATCTCAATCCCAAGCCCCCAGCTGATAGAAGCAGCCTCTGTCTGGAACATTGCCAGTCAATAGTCAAGGGAAAAGGAAAATAGAGAACCACAAGCTGGATTTTAAAGCTTCTGCTTGGAAGAAACACACATCACTTCTGCTCACAGTTTATTAGCCAAAGCAAGACATATGGCCAATCCTGACATATAAGAGAAAGGAAGTATACTCCTTCCTCTGGGAACCAACAGGGGATATTTTTGAACAATAATGGAATCTACCAAAGGATAACAATAAAATGAGAACATACAACCTCAACCTCTTAAGTATAGAGACGAGTGCAGGTTTATTTATATGTTTAAGGGGTATAAATGGTAACATTCTTGGTTAGTATAAGAAGAGCCAATGACACATTTTGTAATCCTGTATGAATCTTGGGCTTTTCTTTTTATTTGTGCTCAACAGCTGAAGCCCCTGGGCTGCAACATTATTAATGTTCCCAGTGATGAATTCGGCATTATTCCAGACTCCCTCAAAGAAGTCCTTTCCAAATGGAAACCAGAAGACTCCAAGGATCCCAAGAAAAACACCCCCAAATTTCTTTACACTGTCCCAAATGGCAACAACCCTACAGGAAACTCATTAACAAGTAACCGCAAGAAGGCAATCTATGAGGTATTTTAAAAGAATGTGTTATGCGGCTATGTTCTTGTTTATTTTTGACTTTTGAGAAGAGTACTGTGCAAGCTCCCTTTCTTATTTCTTTTTATTACAAGGAAGGTAATTTTTAATAAAAGGAATTTATTAATAATTTTTAACAAAAAGAATTCATCTATGCCCAAGGTCCTAATAAATTGAAACACAAGTACTCCATCCTTTGTTAACTATGAGATTTTTCTTTTCCTTTAATTGATATTTTCATTAAAAATAAATAGCATTTTTGACCTAATGTTAAATTTTATGCAGTTATTTAATCAAACGGGGTTTGATTCATTATTTTACATTTATATTTTCAACTTATCTCTTTTCCTTCCTACTCCTTAACATTTCAGGTTACAAAGAAATTTTTCAATATAAGAGACATGCTCCTTTTCTCAATTCTCTTTTAGGTACCTGACTATGATGCCTAAACTTTTCACTATAAACAATTTTTTAAAATATCAAACACATATCTAGCTATACAAGAGTCTTTGAAAAATAAGAGAAGTGTACCTTTTGTAAAGTCTCTTTTATGTACCAACTGTGCTGCCTAGACTTTTGCTACAAATAGCTTCTTAAAAAATAAGTACCAAAGCCATATTAAATGTAGAGAATGTGCAGTAGAATCATAAAGATATCAGTTTCTTTCACTCATGTATGTATATATGTACACACACACACACACACACACAATTTGTGTCAAAATATTGTCTTATTTTTCACATACTCCAGAGTTCTGTCCTGAGTTCTCTTATTTACATCCTACAACTAGAGTCTCATCCAGTTCTATGGCTATAAATTCCCTTCTAAATAATAGAAATGCCTTTCCCCTGAACTCTAGACTTCTGTATCCAACTTCTCCATTCAACTTCTCCTTCCAACATCCACCATGAATGTCTGATGGGCATTTCCAACCTACAATGGCCAAATAGAACTCTTGATTTAGTCCAGTCACACCCAACCTCCAACCCTCCATCTCTGTAAATAGTCCATGAACAGTCACCCTTTATTCCTCTCTTTCTCTGTCTCTTCCTCACACCCCCGACAGCCAGTCCATCCTATGGATTCCACTGCCAAATGGATTCAAATCCACCTCTTTCTCTATTTCTCTCCTCTGCCCTTCCCACCACCCATCTTCCCAGCCACCACCTTCCTTTACTGGTCTACTAGGATAGCTTCCTCGATGGACCCCTGCTACATTCCACTCTCAATCTCCAACCAGTCATTCTTCACACAGTAGCCAGTCATGTCCTTCAGCCCCTAAAATCTAAATGTGAAGCCAGTCTCATGGTCCTCCTGGTGCAGTCCTCTAGTGGCTTCCCTTTGCAATTAGAATCTAAATTCCTTCATCTGCCTCACAAAGCTATGTGACCTGCTAGTCTGTTCCCAAGCCTTATTGTCTCTTCTCTTCCTTCTTGCTGCAACCTATTTTGTCATTCTGAGCTCTTGTGTTATCTTGTCAGGAAGGGCTCCCCAATGAAATAACTACCCTGTCCTCCTCTCTGTCTCTCAGATATCACCCCTTATCACCCTGCCTAGCCCCTAAAACCTCTTGTTTAATATTTCTTGTCTTCATTATCCATTAGCTTATATATAGTGTCTTTCCCAGAACTTAGAATGTAAGTTCCATGCGAATAAGAGCCTTCAGTGAATGCCTTGCTCATCTCTTTATCCTCATTGTCTAGGACAAGAGGCACTTAGTAGCTTCTTGAGTGAATGAATGAATGAATGAATGAATACAAAGAATTATGATTCCAAGTGATTTTCAGCTTAGTTCTTAAAAATTAAATATCCTACTTCAACCATTTTAGCTTGCAAGAAAATATGATTTCCTCATCATAGAAGATGATCCTTACTATTTTCTCCAGTTTAGCAAGGTAAGTGATGATGTGAACTTATTTCACAATTAAAGGATACATTGTATGTTATTACACTGACTTGACTTTAGCCTGGCTGCTGAGTTGGAGCTAATCTGCCTTTACATTGAAGTTAAGTAAAATTGTTAGTAATTTGCTACCACTTCAATCTTTAGTCTTTCAGTTTTATCATGGAACTAATACTTCTCATGTCTGGTATTACTGCTCTTTCCAGAAATGACTTACCTTTAAAATAGTAGCTGGCTCACTATACTATGCATTTGGGTGAACAGAGTCTGTCAGGGCTAATGGTCTTCTCAAACTCCAAATCCTAGTTCATAGCTTATTAAACATCATATGAAGTAGGCTTTATTTTGGGTATCAGCTATACTCTCTTGGCAGTGGCTGACTGGAATGATATCTGAGAAGAATTTGAAAGCTAGGCCTGAACTTAAAGAGAAAGAGGGTCGTGCTCAGTTAGTGATGTCCATTACAGAGAAGGCATTACTGGCAGCATGCCACATATTTACCATTCCTGTCTTTGAAGACCTGGATCTTACCAGCAGAATAATGTATTTTTAGGATCTTTTTCACTATGTATGCATGCCACTTTTCATGATCATGGTCTCCTAATAGCAGTAAGAACCAGGCACTGAGAATCTGTGCCTGGTTCTCAAAACTAAACACTGTCTTTATTCACCTCCCAGGGCTGCAGAGAACATATGCTTGGGTTCAATGCTCCCTTTAAATCTACTGAAAAGAAACAAAAACTCTGGACTTTTCTATATGGTTTGCTGAATATCACATCTACCTACCTATTCCCTACCCTCAACATGACCTGGCCTCTTTTCTTGTGTGCATATACTTTTATTTTTATTTTTATTTTTATTTCTTTTTCTTTTTCTTTTTTTTTTTTTTTTTGCATATACTTTTCAAGTAAATATTGAAGTCAATATTGCAGTATGACTACCTTTCTCATCTTGTTTTATCTTTCTAGCTCTTCTAAGGATCAGCATTCTCTCTCTAAACAATCCAGAATACTGCTGGCCCTCTTCATTTTGATCTAATCCAAATGAGTTTTTCTTGAATCCTTCCTCTAAATCTGTTAATCCTGAATCTCAACCTTTGAGTGTAGGAGGGCCTATTTGAGGTTTCTCTAAATTCATAGTAATAGCATCTTAAGCAAATGAGTAAACTTCTGTGTGTTTTTGACAGAAAAACTGTGAAGATAGGCAGGTGCTCATAAAAGAACATGCAACTCGGTTTCTTATTCCATTTTAAGACTAAGGTAACAGAAAAGATGGTTGTGTTGCTGCTATCAGAATTTATGTCCTCTCCATTTCCTACACAAAATAATTTTTCAGTCACTCACAGTGTTCTCAAAACAACAATATGTATTTTTTTTCCATTTCAAGCCCTGGGGACCAACATTTCTTTCGATGGATGTCGATGGGCGAGTCATCAGAGCGGACTCCTTTTCAAAAGTCCTCTCCTCTGGGTAAGGCCTTGTATCTTACCTTAGGGCCAGATCTAAAAAAGATAGTTTGTACCTGGGTATTTTTTAGTCCAAATAATTCTCATTTAAGACACTTACATTCTTACTTACCTTAAAACATCAGTTTGATTATTAATATTAATATATGCCTTTTCTTTCTTTATCCATCTCCAGTAATCAAAGATATTTGGGCATTAATCTAAAGTTGTAGTGGGCCTGGTCAGGTTTTGGGTTTTATATATGAAAGAACACATTTTGAAATACTTGGTCAGACTTGCATTCTATTTTAAACATAAGCTTAAATTTAAATCTGAATTTTAAATAATAAGTAGCTAATTTTATTAGAATATTTTAATTGTCTAGGCCCATCTGTCCCCAGGTCACACCTGTCTTACTAATGAAATCAATAAAGTGACATGTATTAATTGTTAACATAGTATTGGTATTGTGCCTTTGCTCTTTTGTAGGTTGCGAATAGGGTTTATAACGGGTCCAAAACCGTTGATAGAGAGAGTCGTTTTACACACACAAGTTTCAACTCTGCACCCTAGCACTTTCACACAGGTAAAGACAATGTCAGAAATAAGAGGTATTTGGGGTTTCTTTTTAAGATATCAAAATAAAAAGTATGAGATGTTAGCGAGAAAGACTGAGTGAAGGTGGCAAGAAGGGAAATCACTGATACTGAATCTCTAGTACCAATATGGGCTGAAGTAAAAGATCAGATACCTCAGATGTTTACTCTAAAAGGCAAATGAGAATTAAATTAACCTGGTGTTACTTTGCAGCATAGACCAAATTCCTTGAGAGGGAGGGTATCTTATTCATCCTGTGTCCCTAGCATCTATCCCAGGAACTCCATAAAAACTTTGTTGAACTGAAGAAAATGGAAGTGAGCTTGGCGAAGTAATATAACTTTAGCTTCATTGTCCTGGAATCTCTAATGAGCATGAGGATTCAACCCTGTTTAGTGACTCCTTGTTTGACTTCATTGCACATGTGCTAAAGACACTAGTTGTTATGTATTTTAGCTAATAAACAATAAAGTAAAATTAATTTTAGAGAATGTATAAAACTCCTCACAAACTTTGAGAAATTATTGGATCCATCCCTAATGCAATCTTAAGAATCAGATCCTAAGGGTAGAATTGCTACCTAAGAATTCAAAATCAATAGAAAAAGAAGACTAAGGCTAGGACACTTGATATTGTACATTCCATAAAGTACAAATGTCCCCATGTTTTATCAAGTTGGGGATTTTTTTCCCGTATTTTTTGTGTCCTATCAACAAAACTTCGCTATCCATTTATAACATTTAGAACTTCTATTTTATATAGAAAAATCACTGAAAATATTACATACTACATATCTTTTTTTTACATTTAAAGAAGCAATATAGTATGCTAACTAATGGCATGGGTCTGCAGCTAGACAGTCTAACTTAAATCCAGGCTCTGTCTGTGACTAACCGTATGACCTTGGGAATGTTCATTTAAATCTTGTGCCTTGGTTTCTTCAGTAAAAAATAAATAGTAGTCTAATATTAATATACTAATGTATTATAAAGGTTTCTGGCACAAAGCAAGTACTATATAAACATTTGTTATTTTATTGTCATTGTTAATAATTAACATTTGTTATAAATCACTGTGTAAAGCTTGGTTCAGCTTGTGGTGGTTTACAGGTAATCAAGAATGATTTGCTTTTTATGTTTGGCAGAAAAAACCCACACATTTTAAGAGGGTGAACCATGACATTTGTTATTGTCTTTTCTCTCTTAGCTTCTGGTGTCACAGCTTCTACACCAATGGGGAGAAGAGGGTTTCCTGGCTCATGTAGACAGGTATTGCATGCTAGTTTCCATATTTTACTAGAAATAGACTTCCCTTTATTAATTTTCAATAGATTTATTCCAAAATAAAGGAAAAAATGCAGTGGTAAAAAGTTTGCCACCAGACAGGTCAAATAAACATGCTCTATTCCCTTTTCAATCATTCAACATTTTAATCAAGATAGAAAGCAGATTCTTAGGGTACCTGGGTGGCTCAGTCAGTTAAGCATCTGCCTTTGGCTCATGTCATGATCCTAGGATCCTGGAATGGAGCCCTTCATCAGGCTCTGCTGAGTGGGGGAGTCAGCTTCCTCTCACTCTTGCTCTGTTGTGTCTCTCTCTCTCTCTCTCTCTCTCTCTCTCTCTCTCTCTTTCTCTCTTTCTCAAATAAATACATAAAATCTTAAAAAAAAAAGAAAACAGTTTCTTACAGACTGGACTCCAGAGCCTTCTGGTTTCTTCAATCAATGAACTAATAAACACATGCTTTTCATTGTTTTCATCTTCTAGGGTTACTGATTTCTATAGGAACCAGAAGGATGCATTACTGGCAGCTGCAAACAAATGGTTAAGTGGTGAGTGGAACATACATCCTATCCTGTGATAGTCACTAGCACTTTTATGAATGGGGGATAAACAGTGCATAGTGTTAATAATATTGCAAGAAAAGGAACAAGAGTCCAGGAGTATTCTTGTCAAGAAATGTTACCCTATAAGTAATGTCAGAAGTAACAGTCTGCAAACCATGGCACTGTTCTATCTCTATTTTGCCTGTCTGCTGCAAATAATCTGTGGTTTAAAGGGTGGGGTGGGGGAAGACCTTTTAGTCTAAAAATCAACTAGCAATAACTTAAGCTAAATGATGCCTATACTTAAAAGGTTTTAGAGTTACTTCAGAATTTCCCCCAAACAGCAGAGGAATTGTCAAATGGTATGCTCCGTTTTTAATTAGACTACATAAAAACAAAGTAATACTATCTAAGTCAGTACTATCTCATTACAAATTATTTGCCTTCTAATCATTAACATCATTTATCTAATAATGCCTATTGCTAATTTGCAGGATTATTTAATTTTCTGTTAATGAATTACATGATTTTAATCATATCATTAAAAAAAGTTTTTGGTGTAAATAATAGTAAACAAAAACTAATTCCTTATTTCTGTCATAATTTGTTCCCTATAAATTCTTGGTAAATATAGAATTACCAGTTTATTTTTATTTATTTTTTTTTCGAATTACCAGTTTAATAAGAGTACTATTCTTCCATTTTGTACAGCAGAGATAAAGAAAAGTTTCTTTTTTTTTTTTTTTTAGAAACTGTTTTCTTTTTTTTTTTTTTAATTTATTTATTTATGATAGTCATAGAGAGAGAGAGAGGTAGAGACACAGGCAGAGGGAGAAGCAGGCTCCATGCAGGGAGCCCGATGTGGGATTCGATCCCGGGTCTCCAGGATCGCGCCCTGGGCCAAAGGCAGGCGCCAAACCGCTGCGACACCCAGGGATCCCTAAAGAAAAGTTTCTGAACAAAAGCAAGTACTAAAAGATAATTAAAATGAAAATAATTGTCTTTCCTTCTTGGCTTCTCTATCCTAATACTCAATGAAACAAAAAGGCTACAAATACATCTGAAATTCTCAAATTTTAAGTACTTCTTTTCATAATCAATCACATTATAAAAACTAATCCATCAGACTTCCAAACTAATACATAAATGACAGAATTTATTGAAGCACTGGAAGAATCTAGAAGGAGTCGAAGAATCTTCTGTAGTTGAAAGAGCCAGAGTTGGCTTTGGTCTGGTTCTAACTAAGAGAAATAGATACAGGCCTTAGATTCCTTGCACTACCCAAGACTGACTGAAATTGGAAATATAAACATGAGTCTCCCTCCCTCCCTTCACTCCCCTCTCATTTTTAAATAAACTCAGAACATCAATTTTCAGGGCTCATAGAATTCTGTGTTTTAAAAATGCTGTCCCTGAAAGGATGTTTTTGGACATTCTAGTTGACAGTTACTGAGATTATGTCATTAATCGGTATATTTGCTGTCATCAGAAACGGCTTTAGCAGATATTTATTCTCTTCTTTGGTTTGTAGGTTTGGCAGAATGGCATGTCCCGGCTGCTGGAATGTTTTTATGGGTTAAAATTAAGGGTATTTATGATGTAAAACAAATGATTGAAGAAAAAGCCATTGAGAAAGAGGTAAAAGACATGGATGGTACTGGAGGGTATTATGCTGAGTGAAATAAGTCAGTCGGAGAAGGACAAACATTATATGGTCTCATTCATTAGGGGAATATAAAAAATAGTGAAAGGGAATAAAGCGGAAAGGAGAAAAAATGAGTGGGAAATATCAGAAAGGGAGACAGAACATGAGAGACTCTTAACTCTGGGAAACGAACTAGTGGTGGTGGAAAGGGAGGTGGGCAGGGGGTGGGGGTGACTGGGTGATGGGCACTGAGGGAGGCACTTGATGGGATGAGCACTGGGTGTTATTCTATATGTTGGCAAATTGAACACCAATAAAAAATAAATTTATAAAAAAAAGAGAGGTAAAAGGGTAGAGTTATACTTTTTCTTTAAAGTGATTTTTCTTTTTTTTTTTTTAAACATTTTATTCATTTATTCATGAGAGACACAGAGAGAGGCAGAGATACCTGCAGAGGGAGACGTAGGCTCCCTGCAGGGAACCTGATGCAGAACTTGATCCCAGGATCTTGGGATCACAACCTGAGCTGAAGGCAGATGCTCAACCTCTGAGCCACCCAGGTTCCCCTAACATGATTTTTCACTTAAAAATGAAGAGTTGTTCATCATTGCCCTCCACCCTAACCCATAATAGTTTAATATCAGATGTCATCTCATATTTCTATATCTTACATTTCCAATTATGTTACCTCATTTTTAAAATCATAATAGTTTTTTGAGTTACATAGTAATTCTTCTGGTCTACATTAATAGAAATAGAGTCATTCATCTCAGCTACTGGTTAGTTTAGTGACTAAGAGCAGATGGTTTTTTTTCTCCCTGATTAAGAAAGTAAAGCATGCTAGCAAACTTGGTAAATTCATAACAGTATAATGGAAGGTTTTTAAATAGCTCATCATTTCATCACCCCGATTTTGTGACCATTTGTGGTATATTTGCTTTTTTTAAAAAAAAGATTTTATTTATTTATTCATGAGAGACACAGAGAGAGACACAGGCAGAGGGAGAAGCAGGCTCCATGCCGGGAGCCAAATGTGGGACTCAATCCCGGGACTCCAGGATCACGCCCTAGGCCAAAGGCAGGCACTAAACCACTGAGCCACCCAGGGATCCCCCCTGTGGCATATTTTCTTGAAGAGCTTGTCTATATGTTGTATTTTGTCTGTGCAGTTATTTTTCATGGTTAAAATTACACAGAAAAGTTTGTATCCTGCTTTCACTTAAAATTGGCTGTAAGTATTTCTTTTAGGATTTTCTTTTTCTCCTTTCATACTTAAATCTACTTAGTTATCATTCAAGGGCATTGATTAAGATGGGAAATCTAAATATTTTTTCTGTGTAGGTGTATAGCTGTCCAATTTACCTAGTGGAGTATCCTTTCTCCATGAATTAATTCTTTTGTCACATTTGCCAGTCTTTTATAAACACTGAAATCTGGTTCTAGGGTCACTTTGTTTTGAAGCAGTAAGTATGAGGGAACAGATTGTGTTGATGCTGGCACAGGACCATGCTAGAGCACAAGAAATGAGATTGTGTGGATGCTATAAAACTGATGTCTGGAGGTCAGACCTGGAGGCCGTCATGTGTCCTCTCTAACCACCTTACTTGAGGGCAGGAATCATGCTTTATTCATTGTTCTAATCCTACCAATTCTACATTGTAGGTACTTAGTAAATACTTATGTCAAAAAAAAATACATTTTAGTATAGTAAGTCAATTTTACATTTTCTTTGCTTTTCTGTCAATGCCATTATCATCAGGATCATTTGATAAGTGGTTACTTGTATGGATCTCTGAGGTAGGTACTAAGGATATAGACTTTTAGACTTTCTTGTATTTTTTTGGTGTACTCAATCTAGCCCATGTATCCTCTTGCATGTAACCTTAACTTTTTCTAAATAATCTCCACTTTACAACTACAACCTTAGCCCAATTCTGGTCATCTTATAAAGAGGTTATCACTACCCTTCCTTCTCTCACAGCTCCTTGCTTGTAGTGCACCCCCAATATTTTCTACTATATTGGGAGAAGTGATAGTTTTCATTTTATTGTGCATCAGGACAGAAACCCATCTTCTGCTTTGAAATCTCTTCCCCCAGAATGCCCCAAGTCATTTCACTCCCAACTCACCTTCTTTTAGTGGACAGTGCCCAGATTTATACCACATAACAAGAATGAATACTTTTGAATATCATGATCACACTAAATTATAATCTCAAAGACCTAACACAACCAAAGTTTATTTCTGACTCACATAAAACTTCCAAAGATGTGATCTGCAGGCAAATCTGCTCCAACCAGTGGATCAGAGACTCTCGTTCCTTCCTTCTTGTTGCTATTTGGTCTTCAATGCATGGATGCCACAATGGCTACAAAATGGGAAAAGCTGATGATGGGTCACACTTGGGGAGATTTTTATGGGCAAGGCCTAGAAGTTGCATGCATCACTTCACATCCATTGGCTAGGATTTGGTCATATTGCCACACATAACAAGAAAAAAGCTGGAAAACAGAAAATATTCATACACCCAAGAAACAGAGGAAATGGGGTTCACAATCAGTGAGTCATCTGCCATAGTGCTCACATCAAGAATAGCAGTTGTTCCCACTACTCTGTCTTGACATACTTACATAACATTTTTATTCATTCACGTTATGTATCAAATTTACCTCCTTTTAGTTCTTCAACTAGACCAATTTTCTTCCCCTCTCAAGGCCTTTTACACTATCTTCTCCCTAAAATACTCTTCACCCACTTTTGGCTCGGTCAACACCTACTTATTATCCAAGTCCCAGCTTAAAGCCACTTCCAAATATGATAACTTAAAAATGGTCTCTCATTGTTTGACTTTATATTACTTTCCTAGTTGGCTAACCATTTATTCATGTTTATTACCCTCTCTATTTCTTTTATAAGCTGTCCTTTGCCCATCAAAGCTAGAATATTAGTGTTTTTCTTCTCAGTTTCTGTATATTATTTATATGAAGAAGATGAAGCACTTCCATATTTACTATAAACAGTAATTTTTTCCAGATTCTGTGCTTTTATTTTAGGACATAGAGACATTTTACATAAAATTATTTTTCTCATGATTTTTTAAGTTGTTTTTAAATGTAAAAAGTCTTTTCCCAGTCTGAGATTGGATATACCTACATTTTCTTCTAGTTTTTATTTAATGCTTATTCACTTATTTTCGATAAACTTTCTTAGGTATTAATGCTTCCTGGAAATGTTTTTTACATCGATAACTCAGCTCCTAGTCCTTACTTCAGAGCATCCTTCTCTTCAGCTTCTCCAGAACAGATGGATATGGTGAGTACAATATTCTCTTTAGAGTAACACTAGGTACCAATTCTTTTTTGGGGTGCATGTGTTCATTTTGTGAGTTATAACATTATTTAATGTCCTCTTAATTTTCTGAAAAATAAGTATCAAGTGAGAAGTCATGAATTACTATTAAAGACATATTTTAATGATAGCAAATAGACAAATGCATGAGACCAAGTTGGAGTTAAATTTTATTGTCTTCATGAACTGTTTTCAGACTTGCTGAACAGTATGGGAAGATTACTGACATATAAGAAAACTTCTTTCCTTCCTTCCTGGAATTAATATGAGCTAAATTCAGTACAAATTCATGAAAGCCATTAATCTCTTTCTCTGAAGAAAAATATATCAGCAAGGGTCAAATGCAATAATATTCTTAAATTAATTATAGTCTGGGTTTAGCCAAAATAACAAGAAGCAAAGAAACAAGTTCCTAAGGACTGCATGTCTGGGACTCCAAATAGAAGAATCATAAATTGAACAACACCATTAACCTCGAGAAGAGTCTATACTTGCCCTTGCAGATGGACTGGTTCTTGATGTTCTTTATTTACTTGCTTTCTCATCTCATTAAATATGCTTTTCATAAGTTATCTCTACTTTTACATATGAGGAGAGCTAGACAATTGAAACATACAGAATGCATATGCAGGTGAATGATTATATGAGAAAATAATTAGTGTTGTGGGAAAAATGGAAAATAATGATCTTAAAGGCTTTAAGAACAAATAAAGTCCTGGGAATCTGATATGCTTATAGCTACATATATTAGTGGACATTGATGGCATCCTCCTCAGATTAAAATGATGTTAAATTTGACTTTTCATTGCCTTATCTTAACCTAAGATGAATACTCTGTTTGAATTTTTTAAATTATCGCAAACTTTTCCTAAGTAGCATCCTAATTTCATTCATTTTTATCTCTTTTCTATTTCAGGCCTTCCAGAGATTAGCCCAACTTGTTAAAGAATCTTTATGAAGAAATCAAACTATGAAAAAATCAAACTCTTTCATGAATTTTTCAGATAAATTATTTTTATGTTTTAGCAAGAAGAAATGATTATTGGCATTAGACTTACAGATTGGATTTCAACAATCATGTCATATCTGTAGTAATTGTGCCCTTAAATTCATCAGATTGACAAAATATAATCCACTTATACCTTTTGATAAATTTTCACTCTGCAAAAATTATTTTTATCCTGGATTTTATTATAAATAACTCTAATTGCTTTCTGATTTCCCATAAACTTTCCTTGAGGAGACAGAACATAAAGACTCCTAACTCTGGGAAACGAACTAGGGGTGGTGGAAGGGGAGGAGGGTGGGGGGTGGGGGTGAATGGGTGATGGGCACTGTGGGGGACACTTGACGGGATGAGCACTGGGTGTTATTCTGTATGTTGGTAAATTGAACACCAATAAAAATTAATTTATTAAAAAAAAAACTTTCCTTGAAACTAACATTTTACAATAAATTATTTTGAAAATGTAAGAAAATAAATTCAGAATGGTATATAATGTGAACTTTTTCTATTTTTAGGAAAATTTAATGAAATCTTACTGGAAAATTTGTTAGAATTTGACCATTATAAATGATTATCAGTAAGAGTACCACAAACATTATGTTGTGCCATAGAATCCTTTTAAAATAAAATTCTGAAATTAAGCATACCTAAAGGCATTAGGCCTATTAATTCTAAATAAGGAAGAGAGATAAGAGACTTAGAAGAATTTGCTACACTGTATTTTCATAATACTACACAATTTACAAAAACACATTCTTATCCATTACTTAAATCTACTACACCCCTTTGAGGTACTTAGGCAATACTCTTTAATGACTTTCTCACTTTTTAACATATTTTTCTCATCTGATTATTAATGTATGCTTATTTAAAATTTTTCAAACAATACAGTCAGTATAAGCGATAAAGTAAAAGCTACCTCATTATCTCATCCCCAGTGATAACTGCTGTCAGCATTTATCATCCATCCTTTTAGATGTTTTTCTATGCATGTGCATGTTATATGTAAAAGAGTAGGATCTCATTATGACCATGTATCATAAATACCTTATATTTGCTTTCTAGTGGTCTGTAACAAATTACTACAGTATTTCAAGATCCAGTAATTATAAAGTTATAAGTTCCTTTAAGAAATTAGGAAGTCGGGATCCCTGGGTGGTGCAGCGTTTTGGCGCCTGCCTTTGGCCCAGGGAGCGATCCTGGAGACCCGGGATCGAATCCCACATCGGGCTCCCGGTGCATGGAGCCTGCTTCTGCCTCTGCCTATGTCTCTGCCTCTCTCTCTTTCTCTCTCTGTGACTATCACAAATAAATTTAAAAAAAAAAAAGAAATTAGGAAGTCACTTTCACTTATGACATCCTTTACATGTATAGGCATACCTCAGAGATATTGTGGGTTCGGTTCCAGACCACTCCAAAAAAGCAAATATTGTCATAAAGTGAGTCAAACAAATTTTTTTTTGTTTCCCAGTGCATATACAAGTTATGTTTACATGATACCATAGTCTATTAAGTATGCAATAGCTTTATGTCTAAAAAACAATGAACATGCCTTAATTTAAAAATACTTTATTTTACAACTGATGAATTACTGAACTCTACATCTGAAACTAAGGAGGCACTATATGTAGGCTAATTGAATTTAAATTTTAAAAAATACTTTATTTCTAAAAATGCTAACCACCATCAGAGCTTTCAGCAAGTAGTAATCACTAATCACAGATCCTAACAATTATAATAAAAGTTTAAAATATTACGAGATATAGCAAAATGTGAGTGACCAAATGCTGTTGGAAAAATGGTGCTGATAGACTTGCTTGATGCAGGGTTGCCACAAGCCTTCAATGTGTAAAAATGCACTATCTGCAAAGCACAATAAAATGTATGCCTGTATAAGCATACCCACCATAGTTACAAACGAGATGTCACATCTTCCAGCAGCTAAATTTATTGAGCAAAATTCTCACCTCAAAGCTCACCTCAGCTGGCCCAAGCCCAAGTCCTTATGTTTAAGACAACCAGTGGTAGTTATTTAGGAGAGACTGGGAAGACATGGGGCCTGGGTGAGCACTAAGATGAACCTAACAATTCCACTCCCATGAGATGAAAAGTATATATTAGATTTATAAAAGTAAAAACAAAATAAGCCTTCTGCTTACTTTATTCAATAGTTCCAGATACCAAATTTCTTTGCCATCAATGTATAAATTTTGCCTTGCATTTTTTTAAAATCACTAACAGAGTAGTTGGCTTATAGATTGATTTATAATCCCCAGCTTTCATCTTCTAACATACAGAACTTAATATACTCAGAACCAAGAGGATCACCCTCTAGGACCCGTCAGGTAGACTATTTTCTCCCTCCACTACAACTTTGTCACCACCACCATCTCCCAGCCCACCCCCTTTTTTTCTCTTCTCCTTTCTTTTCTTTTCCCTTTTTCTCTTTTTTCCTCTTTATTTTTGCTTTTTTTCTCTTCTTTTTTCTTTTTTATTTTTCTTTGGGATTCTTGGCCACCTATTTTTTACTAATTTGTCTTAAAATTGTTTTTCACTTCACTGGACCTTTTGTTTTATTTCATTCTGATCTTTCTTTTCAATTTCTGGTCTCTGACCTCGACACAATCATCTAGGGTAAAATTTACTTAGGTCATTTACTTACACAATCATCTAGGGTAAAATTTACTTAGGTCTGAACTCAGCCCACTCATACAGCCAGTCTGCACTGAGCAAAATGACTAGAAGGAAGAACCCACCACAAAAGAAAGAATCAGAAACAGTACTCTCTGCCACAGAGTTACAGAATTTGGATTACAATTCGATGTCAGAAAGCCAATTCAAAAGCACAATTATAAAGCTACTGGTGGCTCTGGGAAAAAGCATAAAGAATTCAAGAGACTTCATTACTGCAGAATTTAGATCTAATCAGACCGAAATTAAATATCAATTAAATGCGATGTAATCCAAACTGGAGGTCCTAACGAGGATTAATGAGGTGGAAGAAAGAAAGAGTGAGCAACATAGAAGACAAGTTGATGGCAAGGAAGGAAGCTGAGGAAAAAAGAAAAAAAAGACCATGAGGAAAGTTTAAGGGAAATAAATTATAGCCTCAGAAGGAAAAATCTACGTATAAGTGGGGTTCCAGAGGGCGCTGAGAAAGCCAGAGGGCCGGAAAACATATTTGAACAAATCATAGCTGAGAACTTCCCTAATTTGAGGAGAGAAATAGGCATTCAGATCCAGGAGATAGGGAGGTCCCCTCCCAAAAAAAATCAATAAAAACTGTTCAACGCCTCAACATTTAATAGTGAAACATACAAATTCCCGAAGATAAAGAGAAAATCCTTAAAGCAGCGAGAGACAAGAGATCCCTAACTTATATGGGGAGAAATATTAGATTAACAGCAGACCTCTTCACAGAGACCAGGCAGGCCAGAAAGGGCTGGCAGGATATAGTCAAAGCACTAAATGAGAAGAACATGCAGCCAAGAATACTTTATCCAGCAAGGCTCTCATTCAGAATAGAAGGAGAGATAAAGACCTTCCAAGATAGGCAGAAACTGAAAGAATACATGACCACCAAACCAACTCTGGAGGAAATATTAAGGAGAACTCTGTAAAAGAAAGAGGAAGCCCAAAGAAATAATCCACAAAAACAGGGACTGAATAGGTATTATGATGACCCTAAATTCATATCTTTCAATAGTAGCTCTGAACGTAAATGGGCAAAATGATCCCATCAAAAGAATCAGGGTTTCAGACTGGATAAAAAAGCAAGACCCATCTATTTGCTATCTACAAGAGACTCACTTTAGACCTAAGGACACCTTCAGCCTGAAAATGAAAGGTTGGAGAACCATTTACCATTCAAATGGTCCTCTAAAGAAAGGGGTAGCAATCCTCATATCAGATAAAGTTTTTACCAAAGACTGTAGTAAGAGATGAAGAGGGACACTATATCATACTTAAAGGGTCTATTCAACAAGAAGACCTAACAATCATGAATATTTATGCCCCTAATGTGGCAGCTGCCAAGTATATCAATCAATTAATAACCAAAGCAAAGTCATACTTAGATAATATACTAATAGTAGGAGACTTCAACATGGCATTTTCTGCAAATGACAGATATGCTAAGCACAACATCACCAAAGAAACAAGAGCTTTAAATGATACACTGGACCAGATGGATTTCACAGATATTTACAGAACTTTGCATCCGAACACAACGGAATACACATTCTTCTCAAGTGCACATGGAACTTTCTCCAGTATCGACGACATACTGGGTCACAAATCAGGTCTCAACCAATACCAAAATATTGATATTGTCCCCTGCCTATTTTCATCCCACAGTGCTTTGAAACTAGAACTCAATCACAAGAAGAAATTTGGAAGAAACTCAAACGTGGAGGTTAAAGACATTCCTGCTAAAAGATGAAAGGGTCAACCACGAAATTAGAGAAGAATTAAGAAGATTCATGGAAACTAATAAGAATGAAGATACAACTATTCAAAATCTTTGGGATATAGCAAAAGCAGTCCAAAGAGGGAAATACAGCACAATACAAGCATCCCTCAAAAAACTGGAAAAAAACTCAAATACACAAGCTAACTTTGCACCGAAAGGAATTGGAGAAAGAACAGCAAATAACCTACACCAAGCAAAAGAGAGTTAATAAAGATTTGAGCAGAACTCAATGAAATAGAGACCAGAAGAACTGTAGAACAGATCAACAAAACCAGGAGTTGGTTCTTTGAAAGATTCATAAGATAGATAACCCATTAGCCAGCCTTATTAAAAACAAAAGAGAAAAGACTCAATAAAATCACAAATGAAAAAGGAGAGATCACAACCAATACCAAGCAAATATAATGATTTTAAGAACGTATTATGAGCAGCTATATGCCAATAAAATAGGCAATCTAGAAGAAATAGACACATTTCTGGAAAACCACAAACTACCAAAACTAGAACAGGAAGAAATAGAAAACCTGAATAAAAAAAAAAAAAAAGAAAAGAAAACCTGAATAGGCCAATAACCAGGGAGGAAATTGAAGCAGTCATCAAAAACCTCCCAAGACACAAAAATCCAGGGCCAGATGGCTTTCCAGGGGAATTCTATCAAATGTTTAAAGAAGAAACAATACCTATTCTACTAAACCTGTTCCAAAAGATAGAAAGGGACAGAATACTTCCAAACTCATTCTATGAGGCCAGCATCACCTTAATTCCAAAACCAGACAAAGACCCCACCAAAAAGTAGAATTATAGACCAAT